TTATCTAATTTAAACGTCGATACCGATTTATTATTATTTATTTTTGTCTTTCATCACAAAAAATACAGTGAAAGTTTCAAATATTACTAGGTCCCGACTTTTAGTGGTCTAATAACTACGCATACGCATTAGGCATATTATTTTTCTAATAAAACCGAAATTAAATGTTTTATTTTCTTTTAATAAACTTATTTTTTTTTTAATTATTGAATATTATTTGTGTCAAATAATCATATTACGATAGAGCATTATCAATATGTAAAGATAATATTTTATTGTAATTGTTATAGATAATAATGGCAATTAAACTGCATTATACGTTTCAACATATCGTAAAATATGTGCATAAGTACGGCCAATATCTCTGAATGTACGTCATTTAAATGCATTCAATGAAAACATTAACATTCAATTAAAGAAAAAGCTCGCATTTATTTCAACTTTAAATAATGATAGTGAAAACAAAGCAGTACATTACAATACCTATCGGATTTAAGTCGGTTCTGAAAGTTTATTGGTTATTAATAGTTACAAATTATAGTAATAACTGGCTGTTCCCGTGCGGCTTCATCCGCATGTAATTATGAAAATTTTATTTTATTGTTTACATTTGTCAAATTATCAATAGCAAATGTCAAAATGACATGATATGATGACAACCTTGCTTCCTTGATGTTGGCAGCAAGTTATGGTCTCTTTCCCACATTAGGGTTTTTATCCAAAATGTATACCCCCTAAGTTTAATAGCGTTAAAATATATAGCCTAAAGCGTGACGCAAGTGTAGGACTTTTCATTAAAATAAGATTTTTTCAAAAATATGCTGTAATTGCTGACATCATAGGCAACAAAGAAATGTGTGTTTACGCTTTATTATAATAGTATAGATTACCCCTAAGTTTAATAGCGTTAAAATATGTAGCCTAAAGCGTGACGCAAGTGTAGGACTTTTTATTAAAATAAGAATTTTTTAAAAATATACAGCATATTTTTGAAAAATTGCTGACATCTTAGGCAACAAAGATGTGTGTATTTACGCTTTATTATAATAGTATAGACTAAAATTATTAAAATGACTTCCGAAATAAGCACAAAAATCCAAAATACAACTCACAGCTAATTACCTTCGCTAACATTTAACATGAACATTATTTATCTCTCAGGTATATCACGATTTATATTATTAAAATGCAATAACTACGCAATAAAATAAATGTTTAAAGTAAACAAAGTTGCATTTACGTTGTAAATCGAACTATCTTAGCAAGATAAATTACCTAAAGGCATTGACGCAAAACCAATTTAAATAAGTGAAAATATTTAATAGCTTTTTTAACATTTGACCCTTATACTGATATTTATAATTAACTTATACTGTGAACGTCTGGATATTCAGAGCTAAAATAGGTTTTGTTAATCATCACCAGCTCACTATATGTACGTCCCCACCGAGGGGCTCGAAGCCTACCCTAAAGTTAGGGTGACTAGGCCAGTCAACCACGCTGGCCCACTGCGGGTTGGTTGACTTCACACGTATCTTTGAATTTCTTCGCTGATATGTGCAGGTTGCATCAAGATGTTTTCCTTCACCGTAAGAACATTGGGTAAATTATGTACATATGGAAATTCGAAAAATCGAAAATCACATTGGTACATGGCGGCGGGATTCGAACCCAAGACCCGTAGGTTACAAGTCAAGTGCTTAAACTACTGAGCCACCGACGCTCAAATTGTTAATATACAAATTATATTTAGTGTATACAAGAAGTAGTCAAATAAACATAAACAGAAAATATGAATAGTCACGAAGCGTTCACTCCAGTAATACATTTTAAACTGAAGTTTGATGAATTACTACGATATAAAAAATATGAACGCTAGAAAGTGAAATAAATCTACATTTGATTTATAGCAAGAAATTGTTATCTATCTTTTATAGTAGACAGTTAAAGTTTGTTTTACAATCGACTACGTTGGCGGGCTTGATAGCAGATATAACATGAAATCCTTTCGTTTAAAATAGCATTTACAAGGCAGTAAGGGCGTCGACGTGCCTAAGGGGTGACAAATACTGATTATTTATGTACATAATAGCTTTCGCCCGTGACTCTACGGGCATTCCCGTGACACTCTGTACGCGTGGCATGAAAAACAAAGCGAGTAGCCTATGTGTTCTACATTTATACCAAATTTCATCGAAATCCGTTCAGTCGTTTTGGGTACAAACTAACAAACTTTCGCATATAATATTAGCATGTTAAAGGCGTAGCGATTTTTTTACTTCTGTCTCAAAGTAGTAACAAAATTTTCCTCCGAGCTTGAGCTTCGTTTTTGTCATTTGGCCCGATTGCTACGGCATGCTACGCCGCCGCTA